CGGCAGCTCTTCTTCGTCCTCACGGCCGATCGATCCTACCCCTGAAAAAGAAAGAAAAAAAGAAAATGATTCAGCCAGGGAACGGGATTAATTTTTCGAACAGGCTTTGCCAGTCGACGTTTGATCCTTCGCGGATCTCGCGTTGTTCAGATTTTTCTGTCACGGTTACGTCATTGGTTCAAAGGACAGAGAATAGGATGATCCTCCATACCTTTGTTCGGAATCTTTATACGATGGATCATGTGCGTATGGATCGAAAGACTGTGACGCGTGGGTCTTCGTCGGATACAGCCATTTCCAACCTTTTTCATCTAGTTACTAGAATTCTACGACGTACCGGAAGATATATTGCGTTTGATCCGAGACAGGTCATTCACACTGCACTGTTATTACTCATTTTGTTTGACAATCTAAGGGGAACAACGTTGGTATCTTCGATTAAATAATCGGGTTATTGCATGCTCTAACCCTTTGCGGTCGGCGTATTTTTCCAATGGGAATAGCAATTGGTCGAAGCAAGTTTCGGTTATATTTCAGTTAAATTAAATATTCGGAAATATTTATAGTGCCATTCGATTTTGAAACGGAATTTTAGATCCAGTCACCGTTCGACTGCGAAGGTTGAGGAACGAAAATTTTTACGGCACACCAACGCGCCGCGCGACACAGTCGAAAATCGTCGACCTAATAAAATTGAACTGCAAGTTGCCGAGTTAAAGTCAATTTCAGTGACGCTTTGGACTGAAATAGATTAAGCGATGAAACGTCATAGACGAGTGATTTTACAAGCTACCGCTAATCGAGGGAACGTCGAGGGGACCATAGAAATCGACCATGTTTTACGCAAGACGTGACCGAACGCGAAAACACCGGTGAAAAGCGGATAAGGAAGGCGATTCTTTAAACGTCTCCTTAAGAAGTTGTTGCTGAAAAATTTCCTCGAGGAGAGCGCGTGTGTAGTGGAAGTCGGAAGACGCGATGGCCAACTCGCGCGATAAATCATCGTCAATGTTCGCCAGGCTCGTTCGCTACAGCGTTCTTAGATCTTGTATCTCCATCAGTTTCGAGAAAAACCCAGTCAATGAATACGAATACTTCACTTGACGATCATCAAGTCTTTTTCACCGATACTTTTCAAAAAGAAATCCCCTTTAGACAGCGTCCAGCAATATCAGCAATTTAAAAATGAATCCTATCGATCCAGTCGAGTTTCTGACAGTTTAACAGTTTCGTAACATAAGCGATTCTCTAGAAACAAATTATTTCTATAAAACCATTTCTCGGTAGAATATGAGGAACTGATGAAGATCAATTTAAAGAGTAGCGTCTGTGACATTACCAGGGCTCTCTACTTTTCAATTTATCCAGTTCAATGTAGCTTCATACAGCGGGTGAAAAGCGTACTTGCACATATCCTTATCTTCTAACGAAGCTTTTTCTTATCAGGTTCTGAATTTCATCTTCATACCGCCACACTGTCGTGATCATGTGAAAATACTTGGACTTAAGTAACTGGTATTGGTGATACTATATCAAGTACAGAAATATGCAAATACTTGCTGTATCCGCTATACGCGAGACCCACTTTATGAATTGATCGTAAGTGTACATATATAAATCGTAAAGATTTGATCTATTTTTACGAAACAAGGAAACGTCTTAAAAGTTGACGCTTCCTTAATAAAATAACGGAAAGTAGACTAGTTTCTCGGACGCTTTCGATTGATTTCTTATTGTAACGCTCGGAACAGAAATTTCCGAATGGAAACTGTAATCGGATATTCGGAATTAGGGAAATCCACTAAATCGCGTAATTACTGTTTGCAAAAAATGTACTTTTTTCATGTTTTTCATTATTATAATCGCAATTCATAACTTGGAAGTACGATCGATTCCAAAAGCGAGTGCAACATATTACAGTACGCTTTATATATTCCGTGAGTAATGCATTTTTCTAGTTTCATGTCGCATTGTACTAGAGCTTTTTCTGCAAAGCAAACGAGTCATAGCGACAAGAACATCGGGTAGTTATTTGCTCAAAGGAGCTCTCTATCCTTCTGCCATGGACACAGACGGTCCGGTCAAAAAGCGAGATGTTTTCGACGATTGGAAAAGGTGCACGATATTTGCGAAAGCTCTCTGTGCGAGGTATTAACGTTACGCGAGACGTTTGCAGTCGTCCAGCAACCAGCAGAACCGATTCTGTCCACCGGTTATCACGGCGAGCTATGGGAAAACGATATCCAACCGAGTACAGACACAGTCATGGTTCACCCGTTCACGTGCGACGTGTTGATTTTTGCATTTTTTTCTACGTTTCCAGTGTCGCGACGGCTATTGAATGACATACAACAACGTGTAACCAAACGAACAATTTGCAACCGTTCCCTTGTACATACTTTTGCCAAAGCTTTTTCTTTTCGTTCTATTAACCTTGGAACAATTAATCATAGCGTGTTATGAATGACTATTTTATTAAAATGATATGACGAAGATACAATAGAAACGTATAATTATTAGGACGGCGGAAGTTCATATCAAAATGATAGACATCAGAACTACAGACGACTGATAAAATTTGTATCGAATAAATAAAAATGAAAGACGTATGAAGAATATAGAATGCAAGAAAAATAAACTTCTATTCATTTAGTACTTCTTATTTGATAAAACGAAATTATTCGGATGAAAAATACACAAAATCTATGAAATTCACATGTAAAAAATTGATCGTCTTAATTATCCTGGTACTTGTAGCGTTAAGAATGCGAAACATACGTACAGATTTCTTCGTCTATATACATAATGCATGCTTCGCTTTGGATATTTTATACGCTTCTTCATGCCACGTGCACTCTGCGAATTTTTGCATCCTTAAATTTTCTATAAATTCATAAGCATTCGCTGTCTGCTGATCGTGTTATCGGAGTCTTCATATACGGTAACATTAATTTTCCCAAAATTCTGTCCCTAGTAACCGCCAAAAAAAAAAAGAACTAAAGAAAGACAGTTTGATTTGAATTTTCACAGTTTCACCTAACGCCCACGAGCCTTTCTCTCTGTCTCGTATCTTCCTCGCAGGCAAAAGTTGTTACTCTACTACTCCCTGAATCTTCAAGGCGCAACTAGGCTGAGACGCGTGGAAAGATAGAACGGAGAAACTAGATAACCGTATAACTCTCTCGAATCGGCTTTCCGTTTCGACGTGCGCGAATCAACGATCGTAGGTAACCAAGCAGACCAGTCTACCGTGCAATCTATCTCTCGTAATATTTGCAAACATCCGCATTTTTTTCGCGCTATGTAGGTGTACTGCACGTTGAAAGAACACGCTTTATCGGCGTTCTCCAGCGGCCGCTGGATGAAACAAATTCTCGCGTGGGAGGAAAAACGAGGAAAAAGTGGAGATACGCGCAGCGAGAAGTGCAGAGAGAAAATGGCGAAGAGGAGCATGGTGGGGAATACGACTGGAGAACATGGTCGCGAGAGAGAATTCGACCCGCGTCTCCCTGGCGACAATTTGCAAAATTGTCTCGCGCGTACCGCTCGGTTCTGCGCTACGAACGCGTCGTTCTCGGCCGACGATCCGCGAATGATAATCGTCCCACGTAGATACGTTCCACGGCTTTGTCCTCTTTCCATGACGCGAAACCGCGATACACCGACTTTGCCAGAAGGAACAATGAAACGACGAGAGTCACGCGGATTTCTCGCCAACGTTCCACCTATCGTCGCACCAAATATTTAATACCAGGCTCTGTATTCGTATGCAACCGGTCGTGATAACGTATCAATTGGCCATTATTAGCGGGAACATGCGACCAACGCGCTCCAATTGGGCGGAACGAGTATGTGTGTCGGGTGTAGCGGTAAACCGGCTACGGTTTCACCGTACAGAGCCGCATCTAGCAATGGGCATTCCGATTTTGGAGCGGTTCGGAGATCTTCAAGACTGTGGAGATTCGAATCGCTTCGAACGCGAATCGAAGCTTGGAATTTTTGGCAGTTTTGATACACCTTCGCGTAAACGTGTTAGAACGATTAGATACTACGTTAGTTTCAAAATTGGAAAAAATGAAGATGAAGGAGGTATCTGTACGAAGTGCTGATTCATTAAAATTTCTCCTATAAATTGTATGCAATTTAACGTTCGCTATCTGGCCGGAATGGAGAAGATTTATTAAAAACGAAACGTCTTCCAAGGTCTTTGAGTGAAAATTTGGAATTTTCAGTTTTGAGCGTTTAAAATTTCGACATACGTATATCCTGAAAGTTTTGCAATCCCGAATTGAATGCCATAATCGTTTAATGCTGACGCGCTGGTCTTAGTCTTTCTTTCGAAACACGTGTTAGTAACATCGATGCGTAATCGAAGAAAAATACAAAGACTGTCAAAGACTATACAAAGACTTCAAGACACGCGAGAGTTACAAGACTTTCAACAGTTTCGTAGCTTTAAATTATATTCGAAGAAATTCAAATGTATACAAATTCAAAGTGATTTTAAGTCCTTCAAATGCAGTTGATTGTAAATGCGATTTTCTTCTGGATACTTCGCGTTCTTTCTACTTTTTTGTCCACTTCTCTTTTATTTTCTTTTTTCTTTCTTTGCTCTTCGTCCCACTCTTCTCCGTGTTTCCGGAGAGCGCAGTTAATTTTCTTGGAGCAGAATTAAACCGACCAAGGGAACGTTTCTCATTATTCGAAACACTCGTCCAGCGTCCAGATGAAATTTCTACCGGGCGAACTTTTAAATTAACGCGTCGGATTTATCCGCGGGAAAACCAGGTCGGAACGTAAGCCTATTCCCTATCTCTGCGTTTGGGCCGAATCCGACTAACGGGACCGATGATGTCACCGGATTTGGGAATATTAACTCGTCGATGCACGAAATTCTTCTCATCGTAACCCTTATGGTTTTAAATTCGTTCAAGATTTCGTGATATATTATTTCCGTGCCACTCTGTATATTACCGACTATGTATATTGGAGCACAAAACGTCGTCTTGTACAATTAAACTGACATTACCAATAAAATTATACCGCAAGTCAGAGATTACGCGGTGTTCATAAATATTGCAATACAGCGGAATTTAATGTCGATCTATGTTTTTCTGCACGCAATTAGACAAGTAAAAGTCAAATAGACATTCGTTTTATCCATCGTATATTATAATAATTCCGTTCATTTTTGCATCTTCAAACTTCGCATTAAAGTCACAGTCTAGTAACAGATGAAATCAAATATAAAATTGATCTCTTATGAAACGATCGGAAATATCACTTATCTATTTCTATCTCTGCTATGATCTTCGTTTGCTAAATGATCCAAGACTGACGCATACATAGGTCGACAAACATTAAACGAAAAATTAAATTATCCTCGAAAGGTCTGCCTAAAATGGAACGCACGAACCGTGACTAAAATCAGCGAGGGATTAACCGAAATTCCTGTCCATTTCCGGTATTCCAGACCCGATGAAGATATCGAACAATGGTATATGGCGTGTATGGTAGTTTCAGGCGAGCGTGAACCAACGTAAAACAGTCTGAAGCGGTTAAAAACGCGTAAAAAGCTTGGTGCGGGCGTCGAAAATCGCGAACGCCGATCGTAAAACCCAACGTCGGCCAACATCGGACAATTTTCCATCGAGCACGCCTCGCTGAACCGTTACCTCGTAACGCACACCAACAAAACACGTTTTGCGTAATGTCCTAAGCGTTCGTTGGCGGAACTCAGCGGACATCGGCACGGAGAGGAGGCGTAACTCCTTTAAAGAAATTACCAAGAGACGGTTCGCGATCGCTCCGAGGTCACCAGAGTCCAAAACTTTCGCGAGACCCGGTCGAAACTCAGAAAATTTCGGATGTGACGGCCTGATGAAATCGAGGAGGCGAGTCGCGAACGTGCGAGGATTATTAATACCCGGCTTAAGGCGATTAGCGTAGTCCATGGTTACGTTCATCTGCGAAATTACGTCGATGGGAGACAAGCCGGAGGAGTTTCGGGATTATTAATTTCAAGTTTCTATTGTTAGTTAGCGTCGGGCATCGTTGGAGCGATGGAGGAACTGCGAACGAGCAAGGGATGATTTTAAAATACAAAGATTCGTAGTTTGTAATTAACTCATTAAGGATTATACAATGAGGTAATGAGTACCAATAACGTAAACGTAATATTCTTAGGAGTTATAACTAAAGTAATAGCTTCGTCAACGTACCAGAAGTGTATTACGAATAATAAGCATTTTACATTTTATAGACGCTACACGATGTGAAGATAGAAGAGAATGTTTTACAATTTAGAAATTGATATAGTTTATTATAGAAATAGTGTATTGTTACTATTTCTAGGAATGATAGGAATATCGTGTTTTCTTTGAGGATTTGCTAGTTTCATAAATTTGTAAAATATAGATGGAGATGAAACCAAATAAAAAAGGATTTCAGAGTATGAAAATTTATGCTTTACAATTACTCATTGAGTTATTAATGTTACGCGTTTCATTTGTAGCCTCTTCCTTCTATGTTTACATTGCCGAATTCTGATTTTTAATTGTCGTTGTTAAAGGAAGCTTCAGACGTTTAATGCTTTTTTGTTGTTGTCTCTTCCACCTGGATTTGACAATTTTATGAAATTTAAAGAAATTGAAATATCATAGCATTTTGTAAAATTGCGTATATAGAGTACAGATGAAAAATACGTACTAGCGAAAAAGGTATTAAACAAATACTTCGAATACTCTTTTACAACAGCGATATTAAAAAATAAAATTCAATAACGTAGATTGATTGAAAGAAGAAATTACAAACGAAAGGTCATGTTGACCAACGTTGGCCTTTAGTGGCTTAACAAGGATCGACGCGTGGATGTTGATGGATTAACCGTTATGTTTAATATTGTGTGTTGTTTAAACGGCGTGTCGAATTAACTGAATCGAAACGAGGCAAGTTGTTGTGTAATATCGATGAGACGATATTGGCTCTACATAGTCTGCAATTACACGGAGTTAGGCGATTTCGCGGGAAGCTTCGTTGGCTGATAACATTAATTAGTCTTAACGCATGCTTTTGTATTCCCCGAGCAAGTTTCTTAAGAGCATCGTACGGTGAACAATGGTTCTGACTTCCTAACGGACTCTCCGAGTTATTTTTTAATATAACTTTCACGTAGATAAGCGCCCTTATGCAACGCTCGTTACATGCTCCAACTCGATATCCGGTACCGTCGGTACTTGCGTTTAACGCTCGCTTTTCCCATTAAACGACAATTAAAGTCTGGCTATAACTTTTGTAATTTCTCGCAAAGATAATCACGATTCCTTCGACTATCCCTCCCTTAACCTTTTTCTCCTCCACTCGTATTTCGTTCGTTTCACAAGTTCATAACCCTTTCGCGATTGCATCGGAAAAAAATGGAGCGCATTGTGTCTATGATAAAAACGTATATAGCTATATAACCTATAAGTCGAGCACGTTCGTTGATTCGCGTGTGTTCCCTCGAAAAATCAGCATCCGGCGAAGCCACTTCCGTCAAACGACCTGGTGGCGCTGGGGACGCGTTTTACGTGACATTTAAATCTCCCATCGTGCGCGTACAATCCGACGTAAACACACTAGTATACAAAACAACGAGGGAATGTGCGTGCGACGTATTCTCGATGGTTATTAGGAACGCGAGTTTCGTCGGATTATATGATAAAATCAGACGTCGCGTAACTACGTTGACTCCGGTGATCGCGAGGGAAATGTAGCATCGTTCACCGAACCGACGATTCGCGTTCCCTTCGACAGGTTACGATTTGTGCATGTATATATGTATATATGCACAAACGTACACACCGATGAGCGACGCAGGAGTAGACAGACGTGCACGACGAAAAAAAAGCTACGGTGCTTAACCGCGCGAACCGAGGTACGGAGAGATAGATCGAGAGATGGGGGGAGAAAAAGAAAGGAAGATGCCGAAAGGGATGGAAAAGGAGAGACTCGCACGTAGAATATTGCGCGTGCTCGCTGCTCTTGCATACTATCTGACACCTACCTATGCACAGAGGTTGAAGTCCTGCCACGGGCGTCCTTTCCGCCGTGATCCTCGTCCTTCCAACCGGTTCTCGCAGGGACGTCGATTACTCATTTACGGTCATTGTACCGCATCCTGTCGCACCACACCAACTACCCACAATATCACACGTGTGTTACACGGCAGCGTGCAGTCGCGTCGTTCTCTTTCTCTGCTTGATCGACGATAATGAACAAAGAAATGCGTAGTCTGACAGAGAAAGAAGGAGAGAAGCTGTAGAACTGGCACGCGCGACACCGACTCCACACAACGAGACAAACAGGAACGCGTTCCGCGCCGTACTGACGGACGGCAACGCTCGTGACTCGTGTGAACGAGGACTCCGAGGACACCGACTTCCCCTACCATGATCGCGTTCGACCCAGCTGTGCTGCGCCCTCTCTCCTTCTGCCTTACGAACTCTCCTCTACCCTTTCTTATTCCCCTAATGTTGCGATCTCTTTCTTTTTCAGAGATCCCTTCCATGGCTGGACGCGGACCAACGCTTTCCAATAGTGGTACGCTGTACCATCAACCCCTCTATCGGTACCCCACTCTGGCTACCATGGTTCGACTCCCACCTCCGTGTAACTTGACCTTAGTCGTCGGTCAAAGGAAAGGAGTGTTTCTGAAATAAAAGGGCGATTGAAGGGTTTACGATCATCATCCTATATCGTTATTACTGATGGAAAACAAGTAACACATAGATATAATATTTTTACCAATTTTTGTTACATTTATTCTTGTCACTACTAACTTTATTCTCATTTTAAACGATTCCTTTGGTAGTTGTTAAACATGGCTGTAATCGTCTGCTTTAATCTGTTTTATCAGGAAATAGTAATTTATTTGTAAAAAAATGTTTGTCATCTTACCACATAAAAATATGAATGAAAACTATTTACTGTATCATGGAATTCTTGTTCACGTACCTACGATGTTTAGCGCCAACCATACGTGTCAGTAAATGGAAGAAGACGAGAACGTGATACCGCTGAAGTGGGGTTATTCAGCACGTAAGGGGAAAACCCCTGCAGCGGGCTTACTTAACCCCTATTCGCCCGACCGAGCCACCCCCGCTATAACCAAGCGACGTTTGCCTCGCAGACCACTATATCTTGTTCATTTTCCCTTCCTGCTAGTGGCCACGCCGCTCTGGATGACCCCTATTGATAGACCAAGCTACTTTCGTCCTTTTCATCCTCCCAAATTTCCATCGTTCTCTGTTTCGAATGTAACTCAAAATCCTAGCTACGAGAGGCGCGTACATTTATTCAATTTGAAATTAAAATTCTGATTTGTGATTATAAATTGTTTATAAATACTTTGGTAAATTTATTACATTAGTAAAAGGATTACGTGAATAAAAATTGTTATCTCAATTATTATCAATATTTAGAGAGTACTTATATCAAAAACAGATGAAATTTCTATCTCTAAAAGATGAAATTTAAATGAAGATCGATCGATCGCAAGTGGTGACTGATTGTGATTAGTGCACGTTGCACACGACGGTGTCGCCTCTGTACAATAAAAGAGTAAGGTTATGTGATTATTTGTCAAATAACCTAGTCTTACCTTAGATAACGTTATTTGACACATAAACGAAGAATAAAGTAAAGTTACACTATTTTGTCAAGTGTCCTGTATAATATTTTGCACTATGGTAATGTTATTTACTATAGAGTTGTCTAAATGTTAACTTTATAATCATGTTTTTAATCGGATGTTTTGGTTTCTAGGCTCGTTATTTTCGAGAAGAAGATATAGATGGTACAGTGGTAAATTCTTTAAATTGGTTAAGATTGCTGTTTACAGAGTTATAAATTCTTTTTTACAGAATTTAGGGAATGCTTTTATCTATTTGCAAGGAATGGTCAAATACGTACTCTAGATGAACTTACAATCATTATGAGATCACTAGGATTAAGTCCCACTATCGCAGAATTAAATAAATATTTAAAGGATAAAGGTACAAATAAGGTGGAATGATTTATAATATTATAAATGGTTTTAAACTCACAAATTTTTAACCACAGGAGGGAGGATGTCTTTTGCTGATTTTTTGGAAGTCATGCATTTACAAACAAGAGCTGAGGATCTGCCGAAGGAGGTGATAGATGCTTTTCAAGCTGCAGACAAATTTAGGACTGGTACTATACCTGCTAGACAATTAGCACACATGTTGCTTCATTGGGGTGAGCAATTAAGTAACAAAGAAGGTTGGTTTTCTTACTTACTCTAGATATTGATTCCAACAAGTGTTCTTAATTACTTCATTTATCTCTAACTTTCAGTGGAGCAAATTTTTAGGGAAGCAAACGTATCTCCAAATGGGCAAGTCAAATACGAAGACTTTGTAAAAATAGCCTGTGCACCTGTACCTGATTATTATTAATATCTTTTTATTAATATCTTTAGTATTGTTATTATTATCATTATCACTAATATCTTTTACATTCTTGAAAGATCTCTTTTGATATTTGAACATATTCGAATATTTGATATTTATGTAATTTTGTTATACAGTACATTTTTTAAATTAATAAAAGAATATTATCATAAAACAAAAAGAATTTATTTTCACAGCAGTTTATCTCCGATAGACGAACATTATACATCTTAGCCTTAAGATTGCTTATAATTACCAGTGCTTAATACTTAATCCATCGATCTTATTCGAAACAAAGTTAGTCGAATCCGCTGCCCGGTTAATACAATTTTCCTATCAGCGTCCTTCTCGAATCTATCCCTCTTTGGCGATATTCGTGGCTGGTGGAGAGCCACAGAGGATAACGGTGGTGCTGACGACCGTTGTCAAGAAGAAAACGCAAAGTAACGCTCGATCACTGACTAACGCGACTTGTTTCCAATCTAATTCCATTCGTTCGCGACGGTCTTGTTCCGCCAGACGCTTCTCATTCCTGTCGATCGTCGCGTGCACTCTTCCCAGCACACGCAACCATTGCGCTTCAAGGCTCTCTTTACCAAGATCTGCATCAGATTTCTTTTTAAGTTATAGAGATTAAACTGACAGAATTCGATATATCTTTACAAATAACACTCACCTAAACTAGGACTGCTGCTGTTACTTTCCTCTCTTCTGGTTACGAACTTGGGCGACGATTGCGACTGGGCCAGTTCCGGTTTGCAGTGCAATGGACAATTGTTTTTTCTTCTGGGAGGCTCGACAGGGTCCTGATGCAAATTGTGTACAGGAGAATTTTATCTGAATCCATCGAAGGATGAAGATCAACTACATAAAGTTCATATAGTAGGGGTTTTTTGATTCTTCCTACTAATTGTGATTTTTCCTGTACATATACACTGTATCCTTTGAGCCATTTTTAACCGAATCGTATTCTTCCATCGTCAGAAGATTTGTGAAATTTAAAGAAAATATGAAAAAATCGGTATTACATAATACGCGTGATTTCTCAGCCAAATATAATTTTCTTCTCTCTGTTATCCTGTACGTTGTATTGTATTAATAAAATATTTGGCGAGCAAATTATTTAGAAATAATTTATTGCTCAAATAGGTTTTTAGAATTTTGTTAAAATTGTTTAGCAAATAACATCACCTCCACATAAATTTATTTATTATTTTATTTAGCGTGCCCAATCCTGACTCAGATAAACCAAGTTCTGCTATATCGTTGACGAAAACGTCGAAGAAAAGCAATATCTAAGTATTTTCACTACGAGTACATCTTACCGATCTCTTTTCCTCCTGGAAATTAAGAAACACTATCCTGGCGAGCTTGTCCAAGACCAACGAGCGAACGATACCAGGCACTCTGGTACCTTGAACGCCACGATGATGAAGATTCAATGTAACTACCGCTAATCCCGAAGCGAAGGATACCAGGCATATGCTGACTCCGTAATAAAGACCTGAACATGATAATATAATTAATGACTAGGCGAATATAATAAATTAACCATTAAACTAAACTAGTTGTCGCTCCATAGAGCGTCACGTGTTTCTGTATAAATTAATTGTCTAACAAGCTTGCAATTACGGAGTTACGCGTTGTACATAGCCGACTCTTTCATACTATGCTTTTGCAACAGGGTAAACGCGATTCTATTGCGTTTCGCACTGGCACCATAGGACTTTCAAAGAGGACGCCTGGGAGTTTCCAATCAAACTCGGTTACACTGACAATGTTGATACCATTAGCGATCATTGTTCAATGTTTACGCAAATCCTATGGAGACAGGCTGAATATCAAGCAGGACGAAAATATGAAGATTGAAAGTTACTTTTTCCATGACATTTAGAAAAATAATGTCAAATCAAATCACAAGAATGTCAGCCTTTGGTATCGTCGTTATTAAACACATACGTGTATCCGTTATTTCAAATAGTAATTTTTTATTTTCATTTCAAATACATTTGCTCAAGACAAATTTAACGCTGCTTCGATCCTCGAATTTTTATATTTCAATTTTCTTTCATTATCGCCTTTTGTATTAGCAAACAAAAAATATTTGTAATATTTCAAGATGATGTTCGACATAATATTAAAGCGTGGAATCACGCATACCAATAGGATTTTTACATATTTTGTTTAGGCTGAAGATATTTTATACTATATTTTAACGATAGAAAAATACAATTGGCTCGAAAATGATCGAAAGGATCATCAGCAGGGTTAAACGATCTATGCTCAACAGCTTCGTTTCCATTTACCCCAAGATAATTATCGTTCTTTAAAGGCACTCACTTATCAACGGTGTTTTCTCCGTGGGCGGCAGTGTCTCGCGAATAGTCATTAGGAAGACTGTCATGGAGAGAAGCGCCGAAATCCCGAGGGTGACCTTTTCCCCCGATTCAGACGGCACGTAGAATACCAACAGGGCTGGACAAGCGGAAAACGGAATTAAAAAAGAAGTTCGAGCTCCGCCAGTGGTATTTTTCGTCATAGAATATCGAACAGAGGCAGGCCATTCTTAAGATCACTACGAGCGCCAAACTTTTTCCACCATTGTCAAGGGAGGAAATAAAAAAAAGAGGGTCGAGGAAAAGTCCCGCATAAATTTCTCCCATCGAGTAGTGGACGACTCGAGATCCATTGTTAACCGGCTGTAATCGTGTTCGTTTCCTTACAAAGATTCAAATACCTTTGCCATGGGGAAGAATAATTTTTCCATAGATTAAAAAAATTCTGACTTGGAGCGTCAACCTATCGTACGGTGGCTTTACGATTCGAGCGTTTTAATGAAATTTCCTCTCCAGATTCGATAAGGACGCTTGACCCTCTTACGGATAGGTGCTGCATTCTGCCTGAATAATATGTATCGTCGTGATATTGCAAATTACTCTCATCCTCTCAAAGAGATTGTCACTAGAACAATCAGTTTTTATTACATACCTGTAAACAATTAAAACACAGTCGCGTCTCGTTACAGTGCTAATGAATTTTCAAAATCCTCTATATCATATAATACAATATATTAATAATTATATTATACGATATATCAAGCAGACGTTTCCAATTAGCCAACCAAAATGAACTTCTCGATAAACTCATTCGATCTTACGAACGATACTCCACATAGCTGCAGATGCGGGTGCCAATTTTTTTTCCTTTAAACATCCAATAGTAAATTTTACACGCGTTCTTGCCGTGTAGTCGCAAGAAAAAGAGGATTGTAATGATTTCGACGGTTGCAGTGTTAATTAATCTTAATAATTGTAGGATGAAACGTGAAACATAAAGCGGATGAAGGATGCTCACCGACACTGTTGATGAGTATGCACGGAAGGATCAAGTTGAAGACGTAAAACGTGGGTCGTCGTCGCAGTCGTATCTCGTAAGTAATATCTGGATACGGTTCCAGGCAGCAGGAGTAGTATTCGGTGTTTTTTCTCGCGGAGAACTCAAGCAGGTCGAATTCACCGTTTGCTTGGTAATTGCTCACGTCTCCCTCTTCGCTTTGCCTCTCCAGCTCCAGCTGCATAAACAACATTCTACGTTTTAGTTCTCCAATAACAACAACAACAACAACACGATCCAAGTGCACACACCATGCACAAGCGCAAGAAACTGTATTTTACTCTTGGCATCTTGGCAACGAACAATTATCTCCCTCGAGGGTGGGAATAGATCCTAGAAGCTAGATTAGAAGCGTTAAAGCGTCAACTCGAATTAAATCCAACGGAACAGAACGGAGCTTCTGCGATTACGTGTCAGTATATTTCGAGCGGACAATCGGTAGACAGATGCTGGATAAGGCAAAAACGAACCGACGCGACGCGGTGAAATTATATTCGACGCGATGGGGATGGTTCTATTGCGAAGTGGAACTATATATTTGCAAAAGAGAAATTTCAAAGCGAACGGATCAAATTTTTTGTACCTTTCCCTTTATTCCTGTTCACTGTGCTTCTGCGGATAAAAAGAGAAATTGTACGAGGTGTTTGAGGGTTAAACAGCCGAACATTGTCAGTATATTCTTGTCAGTATGACTTGGTCAAGCAACAAACGTTATATTAACACGAGTCATTAACGTTTTAACAACATGTTAAAAGTAAGAATTATACCGACTTAACAAAAACCGATGTCTTCGTTAACTCTTAACCGTTTAAAGACTGTCACGGGTAAAAATTCGCAACAACAGTTTCGATATTATCATTGGCATTATCGCATAATGATATAACGAGTGTGTCGTTACAGGATAATAGTTTTCGATTAGGAGACGTTCCAGTTAACAGGTTGATGACCAATTTAAATGGTTTTCTCCGGATAATGGGGAAAAGGCCTAAGAAGGAACGTATTTCCAGCGTTTTAGATTGCAAAAACGTAGCGACACGCAAAATGTATTCAATGACGGGGGTGAGGGGGCGGATAGGAAATGGGAAAACTCTGTGAAAGGATGAGTTCGGGCGTCGAGGTTCGCCGATACGGAGAAACGGCTCGCATTGAATTCTTCTCGCATTTGGGATTAAGCTGTTCGATTTGCCCGAGCCATTTTTGCGACATCCCGAACCGGCATTTTCGATTTGTCGCTGTTAAGCGCCTCTGAACTTTTCAAAAGATCGAACCTATTCTGATCGTGTTGGGAAATCTGTCAAATTTCCTAACGTTGCCTTTGTTCCACCATTTTCCTACAAATAAACCAAAAAAATGTTCGAAGAATATAGGTCTATCCATTCTCATTTATTTTCTTCTCTTCGTCATTTTATTCTTCTCTCTTCGCGTCTCTTCCTTGCTTTCTTCTTCTTCTTCCGTTCACCTTCTTGCCCCTTATGTCTTCGTCCTCTTCCTTCTATTCTTTTCTTTCCACCCTCTTTCGTTCCTCCCTTTTCCTCCTTTTTCTTTCAATTTCTTTCTCTTTTAATCCCATCTTATCCTTATCTCTCATTCGTTCCCTACCCTTCTCTTCGTTCTTCCCCTTTACTTCCTTCTTTACCTTCTTTTTCAATCCCTTCCTTCCTTCCTTCCTTCCTCTTACTTTTCAGCAGTAGCTCGTCTATATGCAAGCTCGATTAACGCCTTTGCAGTTACGTTGAGCTTTTAATCCGGTAGGAAGCCACAAAATATTCAGATCTTTAGGGCGAGACACGTATAAAGGGAAAAGGGATCAGATGACACGGAAAATTAAATCTGATACTTTTTTTTAAAGAGGAAAACCTGAAACGCGGTTCCCTCAGATTGATAATCACGAAAGATTTTTAGAACAGAGATGTTGGACATCAATGTCAAGTGTCAAGGTTTCGGTCAAACTGATTGCCTGCGCCACCTCTCTAACACAGCGTGGATATTTTTATCGTCCAACGGATGGTCCTCCGGACGATATATCACTTTCTCATCTGCATACCGTCCCAAGAGAGGAACTGCGTGAAATTGAGGGCAATACAGTGGAGAATCTGGCCGATGCAGAGCGCACACGTTGTCGGATTAAATCCCTGACCGGTATTTCTTAAATGCTCCACCAGGTATACACATTTTACGCGTGAATTTACATATCCAAGTGTTTTAAGGAAGAAGAGTCTTCAATTGCGAAAAAGTGCGAAGCAATGAAAAATTTACTACCACACCAGTGACAAGTGTTTCATCCTCGTTAAGACAAGACTTGGATACAATGTACACGAATAAACGTGTACAAAAAGAAAGAATCTCGATCAGAGAACGTTCGAAAATGATGAAAAAATGTAGAAGCCTGCCCGTGACACGTGTTTCGTTCCCGCTAAAAGAAAAAAGAAGAATCTGTACAAAGTAAGGAAAAAGTGTGGAGAACACAGTAGGGTAATTTTAGAATCGATGAAGATTTGAATAAAATATACGAGGACGAACGTGTTGGTTGCTCGTGGGTGTCAGCTTTTGCTCGAGCTAATTGCGTGGAAAACTGCATTCTGCCTTCTATCGGCTGAATTCGCGGCGTCGAGATTGCCCGATGCCTTCAATATCGTCGTCTCTAATTTTTGGCCAACCATCGCCTGCAATTCCTTCGTTTCTTTCAAGCTTCCGTGAAAGGTAAAAGTTTAATATTATGAAGTAACACAGAAGCAGAGGGATTTCCAGGTGGATGAAGAAATAAACGAAAGGAGCTATAGAGACTTGATCTTACTTGGTATCCATCGTACGTCCAGGAGGCCCATTTCAGGACGCATCGTTGCTCGTCGAAAGGGAAGAACTCTACGTTGATGTCGCAGCTGCTGCGAAATATTCCATGGCTCAACCACACCACTTGCCCTGTGTAGCTGACTATCACGTTCGTATTGATGACTGCCGAGCTGTATTGTGGATCGGCGCTATAAACAAAACCAAAGGATATAGGCTAGTGACGGATGGAAGAAATCAGCGCGCCCCTGCTGCTGCCAATCAATACCAAAACTTCTATTTTGTAATATAACGCTTGACTGGCCAGAGAAAATTGTACCGGTAGGAGCCCATTTATTCAAACTTATTGCGAGATAAACAATATTGATGTAACTAGAGCTCATATAATAGCAAGTCATTGATTCTTCCTATTTCTCTTTCTTTGTTCCTATATATGACAACGGTTTACGGTTAAATAAATGCAGTCAATGGCAAAAGTTCATTTAATTTTAATCCAATAAATCAAATAATTTAATTTAACAGGTCTATTGACCTTTTAAGGATACTCATCTCTAGTACGAAATTTAAAGCAGAGAAGGATAACGATAGAAAAACGTGATTTAGTGGAAAAGGGAAGAAACAAACGCAAGAGTACCAAGCAACGATACAAGATATAGAAATTACGTGAATGCAACATCAATGAGAAACGTACATAAAGCAACATATACATTAATTGTGATGCTTCCATATCTCTTTAAGATACAAAGCGCGTATTAAAACGATGGATACTTTCTAGAAGCTCGTTATACGAATCAAAGACTCAAAAAGATATTTTCATGATACAAAAGAAGATTAGACTTTGTCATAGTGTTGTAGATGCTTAGAATTTCTTCGAACTTCGATTCTACGATGCAACTCAAAATCGTACGATCTACGTGAAAGAATAAATAACGAGAAGAAAAATATTAAACAAATTCTTAGCAGCGATGTAGAAATATTTTTGTAGGTAACTGTGTATGGTACACGTGTTCGTCTGCCACCGAGATTCCGACATTCATAATTTTCTTAAATCTAGTACCATCGTAACTATTGCAAAAATGAACTGTATCTTACATGACATTCTGCGAGAGAAATCGCTTACTTGTTGTACAGAATCGTGTCCGGTCTCCAGACACGGTTGTAAGGAACGCGGATCACTTGAATTCCAGCGAATTCCGAGGCGTTCCATTTCAGGTGATGGTCCGTCCAGGTTTGTGTCAACCAACAGTTGGTCGTCAGTATCTGGTTCTTCTCGTCCTGTGACAAAAATCACCGAAAGAAAATAAAAAAGATAACCATGTAACGATGCAAAAGTAAAATTCGTCGTCATATGAGGAAAGAAAGAATCTGTTGCTAACTAGTCAAAAAGATACGACGGGTGAAAGATGTCTCTCGCTAGATGTAAGAGAGACAAATCTTTGAAAGTTTCCATCCAGCTCTGGCGCGTTCTTCGAGTAATTTGTCTTGGGTATTTCCGACTGCCCAGCCTTGACTATCTCCCACGAGATTTCCAAGCTTCTTCCTCGAATTCGAAGTCCGCAGCATCGTCATTACGAATACGGAAAGAAATATATGCATGATAATGATTATAAATTCGTACAAAGACTCATAACCAAACGTCGTTTCAATATCTGAATATTTTTGCAATGATAACAAAGAAGTTGAGATTGGTCTCATCTAAAATTAACGATGAAGTAAAATCTCTTTTGTGCCATGACGAATAAATTTCTATCGAGAAACTCTTCGATCTGCTGAAAAGTAACTGATAAATGGCCATCAATTCTTTTTTTCTTTTTTATTTTAATTAATCGTAGAAACAAATACGATATATGATTTTTGTACGATTTTTCATGGATTTCCGCTATCTGGCGCAGATTAAAGGAAAAGGTCGCTGCGCCTCGTTATTGATTTGAATATTCGAAATATTTGATCAATTTGTGCGAGTCACTGTATTTCCCGGTCTAAATGGCCGCGCACCGCCGGAATGCCGATACTCCTGCCGAAGTCGAAGTTAATACGGGTTTCAGCCCGACCTGAATTTCCCATTTTTCAACATGTCGAAGGAACAAGCAACGTCCATGCACGAATCGCTTGGCAATTGTCCGCTTTGTACACGTTTTTACGATTTCCAGATTATCTCGGTTTTCACGCGACTGCATAATATTTCCGCCGCCATCAAAACCAGAGTACGAATTTTCTTCGCGTTTAGCATGCTCGAGATGTCGCGGCCGAAAATTCTCGCTAAGCGCGAGAACATTGAATTTCTTGAGAAATTGGAAAAATTGACTGCCTCGAAGAGAAAGCTCGTAGAACAGCGTATCGTTTGAAAAATCACTTTTATATCGAGTTCTCGAAATTTATCGTCCAGAATAAATATGGTACTGTGCAAAAGTCACATTAATGACGACGATTAATCACGCTTCTAACCCTGCTGCGATTCTCAATTTTTTAATATAGCAATCTTTCGATCGAAAATAGTTTTATTCAGGCGCTCAGTGCGGATGACTCCAGACGATGATCTGGTCGCTCAACGTATCAACAAAAAAAAAAATTTTTTTTTTATCACACTGAACAGCCCTCGACTTGGGATCCGTGTTAACGTGTTAATGTTTCAAGAAAATCTCTTCAGCGTGTTAGATCGGTGCTTGGTACTCACCACGTCGATTATGTGATGAAGAGAAAGGCCAAAGACAACCGACAGGGGTTGGGAGAAATTTTTAGCTGGTCGTACACCGGCGTCGTATCCATCGAGCAAATACTTCGTCAGTCTGTATTCGTGTTCATCCCCAAAACCTGTAAAACCAAGCATGTACGGAATCTGTCCAATATTCATGGGAATTAAATTTCGTATATCGTAATATACATCACACCGTCCTCGCAGTAATGGATTTTCTTTGTCGGCATAGATTTTCTACGAATTCGTTTTCGTTACTCTTGTTTCTTTCTGGTTTAATGCACGCTACCGCCATTCCTAAATATTTGGAACCAGTCGTTATAAAATATACTTCAAATAAAATTCTTTGATCCCAGTTTCGCTCTTCGTCTTATTTCAGGCAAATATAATTAACAGATTATCGATGAAAGAACAAATTGTAATTTCACTGTAAATCGGAAATTGAATTGTTAAATTTTATTGTAAATTAAACCTTGTCGAACGATCGAAAGATAGGGAAACGTTTAGCCGATTTTGTCTTCGGACGAACAGTTTATAATATAATTAGAGTTGATAGCGAGTATCATTTCACAAACTCTATCTCTTCTCTAATCACGAATCGAATTCCTTTCTTTACATCAAGGATGTCCATTATAGCGTTTCCCATCCGTAGGTGGAAGCGTTCGTTTCATCAAAGTGGCCATTGTGTCTTGAAACGCGGGAAGCCTTCTCGTAGATCAGCCAAGGTAGCTAATCTACGGTTCATTTCATCTTTTCTCGAAGCTCAGTAGGCGTTGCCTTCGCAACTCAATTAGATAAGAGATGTCTCGCCGAAGACAATAGTATACTAACCAAACAGAATTCGCTAATAGTCGTCAGTTTAATTAACGAGGAATATAATCCTGCAGATCTTCTACGGTCTTCCAAAGATTTGCTAAATCCGAGAAAGACGAGTTAATTCGTCACTCGAGTTCCTAATCTCATGGATATAACCAATCTTTTTATTTATAGATCTGCTATTCTTCAATGAGTCGCACTATTAATTTTGCTACAAATAAATTACATCGTATTTATGTTTGAAGAACATGGAGGAGAAAAAGGTAACGAGTCATGTTTCGTGCCTCCTACAGAAAATGAAAAAATTCCAAATACATCGTCGTCCCACAGACAAAATTCTCTTTTCTTTTCTTCTTTTTGGTCTTGAAATTAGATTCTCTCATTTTTTGAATAATTAAAAAATATCATCATAACGTCATAACGTTAGCCGGGACTTAAAAAGATTTTGTAGCTTTATCACCCATTATGAAAGAACTCGATCTTTTAATGAACTTCTCTACTTTAACGAAAGAAGAAAAGGAAGAGCAAAATTTTTAAACAAATGAGCTGGTTAACAGGTTAAAACTACAGTATCCTCTTCCTTCCGCGTAACATTAAAAAGTTTGCGCTTTAACGTTTCGCTGTCTCCGCAAATTCTCAATTCCAATGGAGAACTCTTGGACAAGAGTAGCTGTCCGAGTCTTTGAGAGGTGTAAGGTCACGCGAGTAACACACGGTTCAGGGAATTTCCTCCCCAACCCTCTTATTTCCGATCGTTAAATGGACGTCACATATCGCGGTATAGCCTCCCCGCGATGTGGAGGCGTTTCTCTTTCCAGAATCATTTAACAGTCCACCTTACCATCGTTTTCAACAGACCATTGTATTTGCCAAAAAATCCGTTCGTTAGAAAAATCTCTCTTCGATAGTTCTTCCTATGGATTTCTTTGCCTCTTGACTCGTACATCTTATTAGCTCATTAAAAGACACAAGTTCATTACGGAGCTGATCGAGTGAAAAGTAAAGGGATCTAATTTTAACGTGGCCAAGTTTTGCCTGCGCTATAATTGAAGCGCGCGTAACGAAAATGACCTTTGTCCGTGTTTATTTTACGAACTCCCTGGTTCTTTTTACACTCCTGGCATGAATCTTGCACAACTAATTCACCAACTAATAGCATTATTAAACTGATAAGTTACAAGTTATAGATTACGTAGATTTTTTACGATATTATAGTTTTTATAGTAATTGGATAATCATATAATTTAGAATTTGCTTGGCAATAGACATTTTCTTGTAATATTTCGCTTGTTCCATTGTCAAACTTGTTAGCGTTGTAAATAGACCGCGGATTTTTCTGAAGATTTCTATTTTCACGATCCCGATCGAAGAGACGAAACCTAAAAAACAGAAATTTCGTTTGTTCCATAAAATATTCTAACAAGTACTTTGTATACTTCGCATTTCTATTATATTCTTGCGTATTATATATATTCTATATATATTGTATAGCATATTTAATAATAGTGCAGCAATTGCAATTATAAATATAATTATAATTAAAATATGGTAATATTTCTGTACCTTTTTAATTTCCCACGTATATAAATCCATGAAAATCCGCAATCTAATTATAAGGTTTCCCGATACGGCTAACTCTCATTAGTAATATTTAATTGGGTTGTGCAAGATAGACAGCCTTCGTTTTTTACACATTTTGCGAATATCCGTAATTTCCAAGAGAAATTGAGCGTATCGAAGCGTCGTGTCGCGGAAGAACATCGAGTGCTCTCGAACACGCTTTTCAACATTTAAAGACGACATTTAGGAAGAAGGGGGAAAAAGGCTCGCGAGAATCCGCTTTTTCCTTTACAACGAAAATTCTATTCAGCATCACGTTGGTCTCCGACGGTGCGGTGGTAAATCCGCGCATTCGGAACAATCAGCGCGCGAATTTTTCCAAGCCCGGAAAATTCGACTTGCTGTGCGAACCGAGCACTCTTTTTTCCTTCTACATACCCTACAATATATTTCGATTTCAATCTGGTAATTCACTAAAAAATTTCTGTTTGACGCACTTTGATGATTTTTGCTCCATTCTACTCGATTCATTTGTGCGCCTTTAATTTAAAAATTTCTTTTTTATTTTTATATATATCAGCTCAAGTGCGTTTCAGCACAATACAGCGACCTGCGTTAATATCCGAGCAATATGGCATTGGAGGGATACCAGAAAACGCAAAGTTTATTTATTGAACACTATACTTACCAGGCCCAGTTTCAAAATTTAATTTGAAGCTGTACGTATATTGTTATTTATTTTGTTCATTTAACTTTATGCAAATTCTCGCGTTATCTGATTAATCAATTTCTCACTTTTTGGTTGATATAAAAATTTACATAAAGTTAGACGAACAAAAGAAATAACAATAAATGCACGATTTCAAATTAAATTTTGGAACCGGTCATTTAACCGGGCCTGCTAAGGTTAGTGTTAGTGGATAAAGGGTTTTAGCGAAATTGAACATCGCTATTTGCATAACGAGTAAGTTACATTATACGTATGCAACATATATGAAATATATTTCATATATAAATATATATATTTATTATATATTCTGTTTATACGTATCATACATCCTACATTACATATATGTATATATTTTACACAAAATTAATATAATTTACTCATTATCCAAATAGTTTCGCATGTCAAACTTCGCAATTACTTCATCTGTGCTTGTCAAACACAAAACTAAGTTGATTAAATAAATAAAGTTTACGTTTCTATTAACCATAGAATACGTATTTTAATATATTAAAATACAGTTCATTCGGTAACGCTATATACTTGGACACCATGGTGTCCAAATATTAGCTAACATTAGGTAAGTCACTTTGCTCAGTAAATTGATCAAAACGTGTTGTGCAAGTATAATGAGAAGGAGGTACAAAACATGATAATATAGCATAGTTTCAGAATATATACGTTGTAATTGATACCTTACATATATCTTGGATAGATCTCGTCGTGTTTGCTGAGCGTTTAAGAGGCTGATCGAATCGTAACGATACTTGTGCCAATAATAAAAGTTTATATAAGAAATAAAGGGACTGGAGTACGCTTGTATTCGTATTTAAAGCAGTGATACGAAACGAGGGAAGAGAGGAAGAGAAGAAGAGCAAAGGGAATATTGAAAGAAGGTTTCCCGATAAAGCCGGACGCTCGAGGATTCAATTTGATACCGTCGAGTGTCCGCGAATTACCGTGCAATCCAGGATACGCCGGTGGAAAAACTCGGAATCGAGCATCGATACACGATCGATGCCGGAAAATGCGCGAAACGCTCTTCATTCTCGCGTAGCATGCGAGCCGCGATTCTTTCGTACGAACGAGACGAGGGCGACGAGAGTCCTCGAAAGACTCTACGACTACAAAATGAGAAAAATCCTTCGCACTTTTAACAAAATATCCGAGCAACGACGTCGAAGATCCTTCGATATGCCCCGAACGAATATAATTTCTATCGGTGTTCCCTCTTCCTTGCTTTTACCGTAGGGAAATTTCGATGGAAAAATATTTTATTTTCTTGTACCGTAAGTGGAAACGATATTGCACGATTGTATCAGTGGAGAGTTAAAATTTATGATCGTTTCGAATATCGAAACTTAGACAGTGCAATTTGAAATATTTCTAGAAAAGTAAAGAGCAAGTGCATGTAATAAATATTCTAATATTGAATACATGCACGAATTCTTTATAATCTATGTAATCTATAAGTAAAATCATTCTTGAAGTAATTCGATGATTCCCATAAGCGCCTTAATACAGGGATTGGACGAAGATACACCTCCTATATGTTATGTATATATATATATCATATAAGGGGTGTTTCCATTATTTTTTCCACTCCCAGTACTTACACGATATATCTCTATCTGTCCCTAATCGTCTCACCTTTCATATACGTATATTTGTATACAGCACTGTCTTCGCCGTTATATCTTTTTATACCGGAGGATTTTCTATACCGAAGGATTTGTCCTGTAAAGAAGTAAACAAACCAGTAAGTATGCCGCGTACAAATATCCCAAGGTACGTACGAAAACTCGAAACAGCCTCACCGTAGAGACCATCTTATTTCCCTTTCCGTAAGACAAAACTTTCTCAGCTCTCGCGTTATCAAAAATTCATGCTAACTTCTCCTAAGGAAGTAAAATCGGAAAGTGCAAACTTACCGCGGAGTCGTTAGCGAGCAATTACCTTGATCCTTGATACGTACTTCTGGTCGTTTCGATTCCACTTTCGGTCGCAACTAATAGAGATAGCGTGGTAAACAAACAGATCGATCTGCTTGGTGGGAACGTTACGAAGGAGTCGGATTTCCGGAGGGGTGGCGATATGCAAATCTCGATGTTCCGATTAGGAATTAGCAACGGCGGAGGCGCAACGGTTGCAAGTGTTTACACGGATGGCTAACGCTAACTTTTGATAACGAAGTTCGGCTTAGCTTTAACCGAACGCTTAAAGATTGTCTGGCAACTTAGCTAAGCTTGCTCTGGAACGTCCAAAGGCAAACTCGGCAGCGGTTTCAACGAGTGCTGCCCCGTTCTTACACCTCTTTGTGCGTTTAATGGGTCGTCTTCGCCTCGTGGCTACACGTATGCAAATCGCAGATTTATTCCGACCGTGGTTTCACACATAAAAGTTATGTTGGCCCGCCAACACATTTGCATCGTACACGGAGTTTTGCATTCGCCCTTTCGACGATGTGCCTTAATCCGATGCTTTGGTTTACCGCCATAATATCAAGAATACCTCGAGTATATCGTTCGCTATCAGACAACGACGAACGACTCGTGACACCTACATAAGCTATATCTATACCAGAGGCACTTGTGGTACCAAACGACACCATTGGCCTTAGAATTCTTCGGTGGTTGAACGTAGGGCAGCTCCAGATCGTTTATTTTTGTGAAAAGAAGCGGAAGCGTTCCTCCAGATATCTGCAACTCGCAGCAAGTTACGAGACCATTTGTTATTTGCATCCTAACGAGAAAACGCTTCGCTCGTCCCACGCGATAACAAGACAAACATCTCGAATTGAATAGCGAGACATTGCGACATTTTCCCTAAGTTTCCCTACGTCACGAAAGAAAAATCTACGTAGCGAATAGAATACTTTTCGAGGGAATGCTTCGGTGTCCAAAGTTTGGCACAGCTGTCTGTTTGGAGCATCCAATGAAATATTCACGAACTCGAGTCTATTTTCCGTAGATAGAATACCGTGTATTCGCAACAAGATGAGGTAGAAAAAATTTCAGAGCGATCGAACGAGTCCGAACGACGAGGCAAGACACGGCCGAGAAGATGGAAATTGGCCGGTGAAATCGAATTCGAGAGACGATAAACATTTTGTCGAGCCCCGTTTAGAGGCGAGCGGGAAAATTTTCGAAAGCAGGAACTCGTTTCTAAATCAATCGACGCTTGGAAAATTTGTACTCGGGAAATCTTATAGGCGGAGGCAATTCGGTTATCGGTACAGATAGAAGGAATTGGCCTTAATCACAAGGCCGGTGTCCTTAATCGGTGTTTTCCTTTCGACGTTAACTACGCATCGAGATTGAATCTCGTGTGCAAACGAGATTATGGACTTTCCATTCGGATCTATTTGTTCTCTCTAAGATAATCTTGTCTGATAATCTATTTTCATATTTGATCGAGAAAAAAAGTGGGAAGATTATAAAGAAGTAATAAAAAGAATCTTTTTTTTATCGTATGCAACATAGATGTTCGAAACTTAAGAAGAAAAAGTTCAACTCTGAAAAAAGTTCTGCAAAAACGATATCTATACAAAGTGCCATTCGAAAAGGCTGTATCAACGTTTGATCGACAATAACTCGATTCTTTTGTGTCTCCTTTAAAATTTCTAGAAACACTCGACGAAAATAAGAGACATCTACATTAAATACTCAAAGACACATGAACGTTTAATTCATAATAATGCAATTCCTTTTTTTTCTTTTTTGTTTTTTAAACTCGATTGAGTCAACAAACGAATAAGATCTAGGTGAAATTTTAGTTAGATATTTGTAAAATTTCGGTTGATTTCTCGTGAAATTTGAAAAGAAAACAAGCGTGAAAACCGAATGTACAGAAAGGATGAAAAGAGGAACGACTTACCGTTCCCGAAAATGATGGCCAGAACTCCGTAATGAAAGAACAGGACCAAAGGCGACATGGAATTGATAGACCACTTAAACGCGAGACCGCCTGTCCTCGACTGATGTCCGATGCTTTTCAACCACCGTGCAATTTCGACCCTGAATCCCGCGCTACCCCTACCACCGCCACGTCCATTCCCAAGGAAATTCGCGCAGGCGTTTCAAACAATGCAGACACGAATGTTAAACAAACTGACTGCTTGTACAAGGTTGAAACCATTCTGGTGTTTCATGCGTTCGCGGTCGATCCTCCAAAGAGCAGCTCCACTTCCGTCGATTACAAATTTCGTTCGATTAGTAGACCGCAATTAACCGCTATGATGAAATTAAGCGGAGCTTTCGTCGCTCCAAATTGCACGGACATTCTCTTCCTCGTTATCTATGACCAATTTAAGCTCGAGATTAGTTCTGTGATATTGTTGCAAGAATTAGAATAAAATGAAATTTTCCTTCAACTTTATATTAAACCCTACTGCGTTCTTTGCAATTTTGAAGATAATCACGTATTTTTATAGTTAACAAACTTTTTAACTGTTACAAGATATTATTACAAGACAATCAGATTTATGCTATCACGGGTGAAACTTCATCCCTAACACATCTTTTTTGATTTAGTTTAGATATTAACAAGATCGAAGGAAGCGATAAAACGTTTTATTATTATTCAATGTTAGATGAATAGAATAAAGAAATTATTTCCCGCTTTTGTTCAGTACTGTACGTTAAAATTCTCCTTAAAACAATCCTTTTACTTATTAGGACAAAAATGAATAACGATTGAAGCAAAAATGGATACATTGGGATATAAAAATTCGAGGACCGCAGTAGGATTAAAGTATTGAAAATTAAAATACCTTTCTTTTCTACTTCGATATTCTATAGATGACAGTTTGAGGAAAGAATATTGTTGGAACCTGGCAATTTAAAACGAGAAGATGTCCACGCTCTTTTGTTATCCACTGATTCTCACATGTCACTTTGGCATGCTTTCCAAATTGACAAGTAAACCTATCGTTTCAGAACATATCGCATTTTAATCCGTGAATTTGATTGTTGCAACGATATCGTGGAAAATTTCTTGTTGCACTCTTTCGACGCGTCGCTCGAGCTGTCCTTCGTAAGCGAGAGTTTGATGCGATAACAAGGTGTCCTCTTAGTGTCTGAAAGATGGATATAAAGAGAAGTCAATGTTCGAAAACCCGCAAAATGTTGAATACTCCCGGAAGCAAAACTAAGCAAGAACCGACCGAGGTTTCCGTGAAATCGGTGGAAACCAACTATGTAACGCAAATCGTGTCCAGTGGTATTCGACCAGACAACGTTTACGAGGTTTAAATAATTAAGATTAAAATTAAATTAAATCAATAATACATTTTTAACATAACTGCTATCAATCCATCAAGGACCAATGTTATATTAACATAATATTTTATTCATATTTTTTTGATTAATTGATGGATAGGAAAAATGTTTACACATATTAATAAAAATATGTGAATTATTTACGTTTTCCAATGATGTAACTTTATGCATCATTCTACTACGGGTTCCTTAATGGATTAATGAAATTAAATCAACGATTCGTTTATATATCATTATCATAACATATCATACGATATAGACGAAAATACTATTGGGACCAGAGGTAGATCTGTCTTCTATTAAAATAACTGTAAAAGGGAACAATCTCCGTATAAACATGATCAAGGCTTTGGAAGAGCAATTAACAAAACAGTTACCAGATATCAGCGAAAGATCAGTTTTTGGAAATTTAATCAAGAGAATGATGAAGCATTGCGAAAATTTACTAATACCGGAAGGTATCGACAACGCGAAAGTTCGAGCCGTTGTGGACAACGTAAACGGGATGCTCATTCTCACGGCTCCTCCTGCGATAAAACAGAGCAAATAGATTGAGCAAGATTGAGGAGCAGATTTCAATATTTTAGCTTTCCCTTATGAAGCTATTAGCAATCAAAGTGACAAGTTCGATAAGATAAAAGACGAGCGTACGATGTCGGGATTCTTATCAACTTCATCCAATTGACCCGTGAAAATGATTTGGATCAAATCACAAATTTCGTAACTTTTCTTTGTTATGCAAGTTTGGATGATTATTATGGATAAACTAACGCATCATTATCAAGAAAACGCAGTCACCTTAAAGCAAAATGATTATATGAATTTTGAAATGATGATGAATGGACGTAAAATGAGCTTTACCTTTGAGAAAATTCCGAATTTTTATGTCATTGATCATAAAGAATATTATGCTGTACATCAATTTTAAATTAAATAGTTCATCTGAAGGAATTGGTTAATATGGCGTTGCGTATTTACAGGCAGAAATAAAGACAGAGGGATTAAAAATAGGAACAGCTACCTTGGCGACTGAGAATATGTTAAACATAAAATTGCATAGTTCGGAAGAACTATCGAATGTTAGGAATATAAACTTCTTAATACCGCCTGAAGCAAATGCGAAGGAAGTGTCGATCGAAATATGTAACAACACGATTTTTATGCGAGCTCCTGTTAAAAAGAAACATACATAATGGTATTGTGTGTACCTGTTTTATAATATCATATTACTTGTATGCTTTTACTTAAACAAATAAAACTGCGTCAAAGGTAGGAAATATAGTTACATCAATTACAAAGCTGATCTTCCTGTAGTTGCTTTCCCATATTTTATTCAAAGCAAATGAAGTTCATGGGTCAACAACAAACGTTGATAAAAATTTATATCTTTTGAAAAAGTGTGTCTTTCTTTTCGGGATGAGTTTTTGCAATGGCCCTCTGAATTCGTTTTGAAATCTTCCTAGGTTTCGCCTCGACAACAGTAGCTGATGCTAAGCCCTTGGGCTTGTTCTTTAACACTTCCCTGCATTTAAGAATTTGTTTCGCGCGTCTTTCTCGGAGTAGTTTACTCTTTACAGCAGGTACAGTCTTTGGCAGCTTGACCTGTAAATGTGAAATATTTTCGTTAAATCTGTATGCATGACACGAATATTTTTCAATTTAACATTAAACTTACTCCACGCTTCTCTGCTAGAGCAAGATCTCTCTCTTGCTGACGTTTCTTTGCTGTCAAAATCGCTGCACGTTTCAGAACAGCTGCATATGGATTGAGACGTAACATAGCACGCGTGTTGGTCAATGGGTTCAATTTCTTGACACTACGGACCACCTTCTTCCTACAAGTTCAAGATTTATCTTGAGCAAATACATCGTAAGTGACATAATTATAAAATATTTATAAGCATTAATCAGAAGTGGTTAAAAATTATAATCACTGTTGATCAGTAACACGGACCATAAAATTCATCATGAATAAGATATGTATTCGTTGAAAATGTATAATAAAACGTAAATGTACATGCCTTGGTGCCCTCAGAACTTTACGAATTTCTTGCGATTTCAGGAGTCTCGACAAATCCGTGTTCGCCATTTTCGGGTAGGGTAAGTTATAATCGGCCTTAAGTTGGGATTCTTTGCGCCAAGTCCCGTAAAGAGCATCTAACTTTTCAAAGGCAGATTTTGTCCAAATTACAAAACGCCCAACGTGGCCACCAGGTGCCAATTTAAGCAAGTTCATTTTGTTAATATTCATAAGATCAACACCAGGAATGTTGCGGAATGCCTTACGAATACCCTAAAAATATACGATGAAGACGAATATTAGCATTTTAATCTTGAAAAAATAATTAACTATCATTTTTTAGTTATTTGTATACCTGATCTTGACCATATACAATCAGAGGTCCACGTCGTTGAATGCGTCTGCGGTTACGCATTTTACCTTTGCCAGCACGGAAACGTTGAGACTTATAAACCTATTAATAAAACGAAAGTATATTAGTTTCTTCTAAATTAATATATTTAGATTGAATCTGTTCGATTAAAAATACCCCATCCTAGCAATTAATTCAGCTAGTCCGGAACGCCTATAATAACCGTATTTATTTAGCACCTGATAGGGGCACCTAAATTAAAATTGTTTTAATGAAGATGCGGACATTCTACGGTGCAAAGATACAACTTTTGAAAGTATACTTACTTTTTGAATATCATTCCATGCCTTGATACGTCTCAGGAAGATAACAGCTTGTTTAGTCTTGTTATATTCCTGAATTTTGTCGGATACTACTAATGGAAATTCTGGAACTTCTTGAATCATATGACCTAAACATAAAAAAGAGATAGTATATATATTATTCTTTTCAAAGCAAACTACATATATTAAAACATTTACATAAATCAGCATAAAGCTATTAAAATAATCAACGTCATTTCAGCAACACGGACCAAAGCTATTCATCATTAAAATATTGCACATAAAGTAGGATTTATTACTTTATCTCAGAGAATGCTATTTACCCTTAGATTGTACAAGGGCTGGGACACCAGATGCAGCAATAGCAGAAACAATAGCGTATCTTTTCTGGTTAACATTAATTCGACGATGCCAGCGTCTCCATGGCTTTGTTGGAGCAAACATGCGTCCACCTCTACACATGTTACCAAAAGCACCTTGACCAGAGCGGTGAGTACCACCACCACGTACACGAGGTATACGTGCTACGGCACGTCCAGTACCCCATGACTCGGCAGAGGTTTGATGACCTAACAAAACAAACCTACATTTAATAATTGCAAATTAGTTCTTCAAAAGATAAAAAAAACGAGCATAAAACACTATATACTCACCAGCTTCCTTAGATACACAATATGGCTGTCTACTGTTCTTAGAGACTTGCTGGTGGACAAAATTCACGATATCAGGCCGAATAGGTGCTTTAAACACAGCCGGCAGAGAAATCGTATCGCCTGACGATTCATTTTTATCGGTATATACCGTAACAAGCGGCCGCGCCGTTGATAACGACTAAAAAATAAAAACAAGAATCAGAATGAGATACAAATCTACGTACAACTATCGATAATCTTAAGATTAATTCTGAAAAAAAAAAGGGGAAAAGTAAAGTAAAAAATTTCATGTTCTGATAGAATTATAAACGATTTCTATTGACGGCACATGGCGGACTAAAAGATGGGAATCATGCATATTCTATGTAAACATATCTATATGTAGTAAAACTGTTTTATTCTACTGAAAAGAATATTGCAAAAGAAAATATATAAAGTCACAAGTTACATTTAAACATATATCAAAACCAAGCTATGCAAGTTTGTACGCTACAGATCATTACACGTGGTCAACTGTGTACAAGCTTTAATTCAAAACCAAATTCTTGGGAATTATTGGAAAATATAACAATAAAATTATATAAAATATTAACCTTTAATGAATTCCAAATAAAATGCAGGATTTCTTACCATTTCGCCTTCTTTTTATAACTTTTCACGCATCAGACAAACTAGCCAGACAGCTTGTACGCCTTACCTGGCCAAAAAGGAAGAAGGACGCGAGCGGATATTACGTACCAAAAGTCGCGCATGCTCAGAATTCAACAATTCCTTATGTTCGGTTTACAATTGTCTACACTATTTTATCTAAATATTTATATATAACAAATTTAACATACTCGTACAACAAAGAATTTATTTTTTTATTTGTAATATTTCCATTTATTCGAATATTTTTATAGTAGAAATTATATTTTATTATTTGTGTTTCCATAGTCATCTACCAATAGTATTACAGTATGACGGGAAACGTTGAACTGTGATTGGTACAGATTCGTTCTTAAGTGATGTTTGTCTAGTCGGAAGTACGTCATACAAAATTTAAACTTTGACAGAGAATTGCAATTGTACATTGACATTCAAAAGTGTTTATTTGTGCAATTTCTTTAAATGGCGGGAGAAGTTATAGTTGATGCATTGCCATATATTGATCAAGGATACGATGAACCTGGAGTTAGAGAAGCAGTAAGTAATAGTTTTCTGTTATTTATAATAATTCTTTTGTTATAAATAATTATTAAACTGATTTTGAGGTTATATTGTTTATATGAGCATATTAAATAGATTGCGAATTCATACGTAGTTATTAAATATTTTAGGCTTTGGCCATGGTTGAAGAAGAAACTCGTCGTTATAGACCGACAAAAAACTATTTAGAACATTTGCCATCATTAAATATTACTGCTTTTGAGACAGAGGTTATGAAACATGAATTTGAGCGAATGCAAAACCGTTTACCTATGGAAGTACTCAGTATGAAGCGCTATGAGTTACCTCCACCTCCACCAGGTAAAATGAATGATCTTGCAGCATGGAATGAAAGTGTAAAAAATAGCAGTGCACAATTGGAACATCAGGCTACCAGGTAAATACTTTTGTAAATATTTTTGTTTAATATGTAAGCAATTACGAGATTGTGATGAGGATGTAATGTTAAATTGATATATTATTGTGATGTTCAATAATAATGTAGAATCTGTAATCTTGAGTTAATGATGGAATATGGATGCGAAGCATGGAAATCTTATTTGGAAGTATTAGTACAACTAGTGAGTCAAGCTCAAAAACAGCTACAAGCATTAAGGAAAAGAATTCAAGAGGTTAATTGGCAAAGAAAATCTATGCAAACTCAAGGCGGAGAAAAGTTAAGGGCATTAGAAGCACAATGGGTAGGACTAGTGTCAAAAAATTATGAGATTGAACAAGCGTGTGTTCACTTAGAAGAAGAAATACAGAAATCTATGATGAATAAGGGTGAGGGTGTAGAAATCAATGATGTGCCAGGAGAGGAAGAACCTGACATTCCAGAGAAAAGTGCAACTGAGGTTATGGCAACAAAGATGGATCAGCAAGAACAACAAAATCAAGAACCTTAAAATGTATATAAAATTGTGACTAATTATGTTTTGTATTTTATTATGACGATATTATTTAAATACATTGATTATATTTAAAATTGACAGTAAACTATCGATCCTATTCATTTCCGAAATAGGTTATATAAAGTTATATACGATATCGTAAGGAACACAAGGTATTATTTTATAAATTATTGCTGGATAAATATATTAAGCTAGGTTAGTAAGTTAATATAATGTAATATAAACAATGAATAAGTGGCGCAGAGACTAATTTATTAAAAATATTATTAATCTTTCGTTATCGGTAGTGAAATATCGTCGAAGTGGTGTGAAAGAGGTTAAATATTGCGGTATAATATACGAAAAAGATAAAGTACTGTAAATATTTAAGAGATTTTAATTATATTTGTTCTTTACAGGTAGTTGGTACAATGCCGTATGGTATATCATGGCCTCGATTTATTTCCTTTATTTCATTAGTATTTCTTGCGACTGCGTCTGGTTCGCAAGCTGTGCATCTTATATACAGGCCCCTTGACGATTTAGATGATTTGATAGAAGAGGCATTTCAGAAAAGACTTTCAGAACTACAAGATCGTAAATAATATGTAATTAAATAAATTGATTCGGTTACTGCTATTAATTTTTCAATTATTTTAATAATCTATTAAACAGTAAGACCTTTTGTAAGGAGAAGTGGTGTTAATATGATAGGGAAGGAATAATAACGAAAACTAAAAAAATGAATCAGCAACTTGAAGTTACACTCAAATTTTAATCACAATGCGAGATTTAATAAAGCACAATTTATTTCATCATAGTTTACACGTATCACGCTTTTCTTTAATGCTTGAAATATACATATTTACAAGATGAATATCATCGTCTATAAATGACATATAGTATCATGTAACAATTATTTATAATTCACAGTATACTTGGAGGACTTTCTTAAATAGTTTGCTTGCATTGATGTGTCAGCAGCGCATTTTTGTGTAAGCCTAGCTTGTAATTTCATTTGTTAGGATAGCTACTAACTCGTACTTGTTTTCTTTTATATATAATTACAAAAGCGAATAATCAAGCATTATTCTTGGGCAACTATTCGTGTAGAAAAATACGTAAATTTTTATCTCCGTTTCGATCGTTTTATAACGAAGGGAAGGATAGTTTAAAAACACTCGTAGAGCCCGTATTGATCGATTTCGATTAATCACTAAATTGTCATAATGATGTCTCGCTGGCGCCAGAACTCTGTGATTGGAGTGGTAAATTTGTTTTATATCCTGTAGATTCCTCCTCTAGCAATGCTATCCGTTGTTTTAGAGATTTTACCTATAAATTAATCATACGTGTAAAAAAAAGAAAAAATTGAAAGTTGTAACTAAGTAATTTAGTTACATGTTGCATCACTAATTTTGATTAGGGTGATAAAATGCAACTGCGCAGAATCAGACAGCTCGATACTGAAAGTACAAGATGGCGACAGTCATATGGCAGAAGCGGCAGCGTGCGGTGTACTGTAAAAATGCCGATCTTACCAAAATTCAACATAAAGAGAACGATAAGGAGAACTTTAAATAAAGTGCCTGGAAAATCTTTAGGAGAATTTCGATTTTTACCCATAATGTTTTTAATGGGTGGTTTGTTAGAGTTCGTTATGATACACTGGCATGTCGGAGAGGTTAACTTCTATAGGACATATAAAAGAAGAAGAATAGAAGAAGCAGTTGAACAAAGATTAGCAGAAATGAATGCACAAGTGAATAGATAAATGTATATCGTAGCAAATAGTAGTAACAAATTAATGAACGAAGATGGAGCATGTGAGCATTTGCAATAGCAAATTTTTAAATATAACATTTAACGTCAATATCTCACTTTCACAGCGACGAAGCTTTTAATAATGCATTATACTTTTATAGGTCTTCTGAAGACTAATATTACGAAGATGCAAAGAATGTAATTTATACAAAAACATGTACAAAGTGTAATAAATTGTTTTATAGATGTATAAACACGACATCTAGCAGTTCTTCTTAACTTCCTTCATATCACACACCACATTTATGCTTGTTCATACCTGAGCAGCATGCCTCTCCACCATGCCCAACATTTGTTGCTCCAGCTTTTTTAATCTGGATTGATATTTTTTCTTAGACTTCTCTAAAGTTTGTACCAGAGCTCTAAAAACAAAGTTAAAAATAAGATTTCTCGATCGATTGTAAATCTACCGTTATACGTAATTCAATTACCCATTAGCTCTTTTCAAATCGTTAACAAGCTCAGCAGACTGTTGATGGCGCAGTTCAGAGTTTTTATTAACTTTGTCTAAAGTGGATACTAATTCCTGTAGACGTTCCTTTAGCCTAGCTTCTCGACCTAGTGCCTCTATCAACTCAGATTCTATGCCTTCGCTCTCGTTATCGCTTAAACCTCGATCCTATACGTAATTTATATCGTATCATTAACACGAGAAAGAGATTTTTGTTTTAAATAGCCATTATGTATTTACTTTATTCGTAGCCATAGCCAGCATGGCCTCTGTATCGCTGAGCTGACCCTGAAGATGTTCGATAGCAGCATGCTGAGCTGCGATTTGCGTATCACGTGCGTTTAATTTCAATTCTATGGTAGCTCGTTCCTTTTCCAGTAGGAAGACTCGTGCCCGTAGTTCCGCCTTGTCCTCTCTCATAGCCATCAATTCCTACACGAAATTGATTACATTTATTTTTGGAACTTCCAAGAATTCGAAGCTAATCGTCGTCTCGGACGGACCTGCATAAGTACAGCTGTTTCTAAATCTAATTTCCGGGCTTCGGCGAGGGAAATTGTATTCTTTGAATTCAATGGTTCAGCGTGAACACTTTCTAACTCCACTACAGTCGATCTGACCATGGCTCGTTCTCCTTTGAGTCTACTAATGTGCCTTCTGAGTCTTTGTTCGTCTTCCACGGACCAAGCCACCTCAGACCTGAAGATACCAGATTATTAAGAAAAATTACAAGCTCATCGAGATTTGGCAATGTACTCACTCGTCTGATAAAACTATACTATCTTCCCACGGCGCGTTTAAAGTATTCATACATTCGTTCTCCAATTTATTCAACACATGATAGGCTACGTGTTCAGCCGCTCTTCTGTTATCGATCGTGATGCTGTTCCTTTCTGTCGATAGAGCGATCTCGCTTTCTAGTAACGCTACCAGGACATCGTAAGCCTCTATCGCGCGATCACTATAGGAGAGTGCTAATCGCAACGCGGTTGCATTCGACTCGTACTTTCCAACTAGGAGACTCAATCTGGAATAGAGAAACACTTATACATATTTTTTACATACTTGTATAGTAAATGGCACATGATGAAGTTGTAAAATCAATCGGTATTCAAAATATCTACAGTGCAAAAATGTGCAGAATGCATGTAATGTGCAAAACGTATTAAATATACAAAGTAATATTTATACATATTATAATATTTAATAAGTAAAATTTTTATCTAGGTTTCATCTTGTTTTATCATTATGATAAAAACACAAATACGATTATAATTTTAAACGACAATATACACATAGGTATCTGGCGTTTAGCCCTAGCTACAGCTAAATTAATAGCTGATCCTACTTAATGTTCTAGTTTACGGCTTCACCTCGTTATTAATGATACTTCGTATTTCACAATTGGAACACAAAAATACCTGTCACATTGCGCCTTACTCTCGTGCAAAGTCAACGCAAGGACAGCGTTATTTGCTCGCGCGTGTTCCAACCTGCTGTTTAACCTTTCCGTCTCCACTTCGAACTGTTTTTCGGATCCATTCAATTCCTGAAGATTCGAGTGCTCCAAAAGGTCCGAGACCAGATGTTCAGCCACCATCGTGGAACATACCTATTTAAATGACCATAAAGTTATTAAATGGAAACAGAAACAAATCCGTTACTTTTCTACAACTCTTGCAAACAGTTTCTGTCAATTTTTATCGTGTATTTTAGATCACGAATTTTGACGGGTAAATTCATTTCTTGCTAATTCAGATCGATTATCGCGCTTCGTACGATATTATCAGGTATCCTGATATTTATAAACGGGGCTGCATCCGATTGTCCTGGTTGTATTCGTCAAAGAACGAGACCATTGTAACTACAAGCTAAGAGTGAAAAGTACGAACAACCAGAGACGATAACGTACCCCCAGGTTGGTAATATCAGGTCCTGTGATGTGCCTCTCGTCGGTCCTCCTGAGTCTTACCCTCTCGGCTATTTTAAGAACCGGAGCTTCCTCCCTCGTTACGCTCTTTGTCGGCGGTGTCTGCAGGGGTGGCAAGAGTGGCGAGCAAGGTGCACTCAAAGGTTCCGGCGAACTGGTGTTGCCTCTTGTCTGCGGAAATCAAAGGAGCACGAGGAGAACGTTACAGTCGGAAGGGTTGATAAATATTTTTGTGAAAGTGTTGGGCTGATCAAAGGCTGGCCAAAGCACGGGGGTAACTGTGCAAAAAATTCGTTCGGCATTCAGCGGTTCGTTCCAAAGGGGGAGGAGGAAAATGCATTTCGGGTGCATCGAGATGAAAAGAACGATCTTCTTTTCATCGCGGACGAAAACTCAGTTCAGCTCGTTGCAAAACTGTAACATCATATAACGTCTCTATACGTCGAGACCATGCGGAGGGTGCGCGTATTTTGCAGCACGTTACAATAGGTCGGATTGTGTGCGCTACCCACTCGTATTTCTCTGCGGGGCGACTCGCTGCCAGCCTGTTGCCTCTGATTGCTAGCCTGATTCTTGAAATTAGCCAGCTGAGCCTGTAAACTCGCGATCTCCGCTCGAAGGGCTGTGACCTCTTCTTGTAACGCTGCCACGGCCACGCTTTGGCACGAGGCCGCCTGTTGTGTTGGCTCCGGTGTTGGTAACGCCGCCGGACTGTCTAGCTGTTCTCTTCCATTCTGTCGATGTAAATGATCGTTTAATCGCAACTATATTACGCGCAAGATCTAGCAACTCGTCCGAGTTAAGCAACTTCTTCCGATTCGATTTCGAGTCTATTTTGCATAGTTTGAAAGTTGTACGTCTGCTACGAACATTTTATAGTTTGCAAAATCTTAAACGCGTTTCCCAGACTTTCCAGGCAATTACGCTACTATCTTCTAAGTTTCACCGAAGAACTTTGTAATCCTTTGATAGACATACCTCGGCGGTACGTGGCTCGATGTCCTCGCAGCAGCTGGAATCGGCATCTCCCAATGTACGATCTCCATCACCCTGAATGTCACCTCCACCTTCGCTCTCTTCCACCGGGTTAGTGATCGACCCTTCCGCGTCTCTGCTTGTCTCTATTTCTAAATTGATTGGAAAGGGTCAAACGAAACAGAACAAAGTCTTCGAACGAAGTGTGTAAAAGTCGCTATAATCATCAAACGACGAATTAAAACTTGCGTTACAATCTATTCGATTGATCGTTTTACGAGGAAATCTCCTTAAATTATTTTGCTAATTTATCTCTCTACGACTCGTCATAAAACACATACCACGCAAGGCGTATAAATGCCATCGTGTTTTCCAACTTACTCAACAACCTAATAATTCGCAAGAAAAAAATATTCAATTGGCCAAAGTTACCCAGAACCAACGAGTTACTGTAAAATACAATATAAAACGGACACACCATGATCGGGAGAAATATAAATCTGCACGAAGAATCTCGAATTTTGGCGACGTGGTTGGACACCGTGAAACGAACGGCGAAGCGGCTTCCCAGCGGGGAACGCGTTAAAACATCAAACGGCCTCGGTCCATAAATCTCTGTCGGAGGGAGGCAGAGACCGAGCACGGTGCACAGATTTACGGAATCGGTCGTTTCGTTCTCTCCCTTACCGGACTCATCCTCCTCGGCAATTACGGTAGCGCGATGCCTCTCGAGCTGCCTGCCGAGCTCGGCGATCACGGAATGCAACTCGGTCAGCCTCTCCTCGTGCCTCGCCGCTTGCTGCTCTGCCCTCTGTTCCGCTCGCGCGGCT